GACTTTGTAACATATAATGTAAAAAAAAAATACAGACTGTTGTAAAAATTGCACATTTAGAGACCAAAACTCTTTGCTTATTCCATGTCCCCTTTCTGGACTGGAATAGTACACAGAGACAACGTACCTTCATGGTTGGGTCCTTCTCTACTAGTGGGCGACAATATACAGGCACTGGGACGTTTTTCATGCGAGTGTCTTCCTGACCACCATTGGGACTCAGCTGTGGGGAAAGAGAATATGAAAAAGATGGTACAAAGCTGTAAACACCAGGCTATGGTAAGAGAGACGCAACCATGTTGCAGAACCAAACTTACCAGCCTCAGAGACGGGCGCTGCTGAGGCTTTGTCTCACATTTTGTACGTCTCACAATTTTGTACGAACCCCTACAGGGATGAGAGCAGCTTACCCAAGAGACTGCCTCTCCCACCATGATACGGTACCTCATTTATGGTCTACAGAAGCTATACATGGCACTGCTGATGGAGAAAGGGTTGTCAATGGATGCTCCCTGCAAAGAACACTAGTGTTCCCTTCCACCATGGCCTGAAACTCATCCACTTTCAAGCCCCATTGCAAGAATCCTTCCTTTCAGGTGATCTTTGACGAGTTATATGAATCATAGGCCAACAAATGAGGCTGATGACAATTTATTTTATGTTACGGCTGGGGAGAAGCGGAAGCAAACTGCACTGCACTTGGTGTTTACATGAAACGATTGTTAGAGTTCTCAGAGTATAAATTAAATACCTAATGTTCAAGCCTGATTATAGTAACAAAGGAAATAAAACAAGTACTGGGCTCTAGACAAAATAGCTTAATCACTTCTGGCTTTGGGTAGCTTCTTTCAATACCTTCATGCAGAGAAATGCCCCCTCCATTGACATCAGTGGATGCACAGCAGATATTACTTTGATCTCTGCCTACAATTATCATACAATAAAACATGCATACAATACCTCTACACGAAATATTTAAGGACTGAGGCTAAGGTTACTAGTGGGAGAGTTAGGTCTTCCCTGGTTTCCCCTCAGAGTGGTCCCTACCTGCTTGTACTTGGCAGGGAGGCTCCAGCCACAGGCCTGCAATCGCCCATCATCATTCCGCACGTGCTCCCGGACCTGGCGGTACTGCTCCCGCTTCTGCTCGCGACGTGCTGAGGATGTACAGTCACTGAGGAGAGAAGCAACAGCATTACTTCTCAATCTATGGTTAAAAACAGAAGCTGAAGGTTAAGGGAGTGTTGCCACAGCACAGGGAGGAAATACAAAGCAAATCAAATCCATCTTTGAAAACAGATGTAGGAAATCAGAGGGAGAAAAACTCTAAGAAGCAGACATAGGCATACCTAATCTCTAACTCCCTGTTACCTGAGTGATGTGTCAGGCCAAATCATTGTCATCTCCACTTCAATGCTCCAAAAGCCCTTCAGAAACAGGGAGTCAACCTTCCATAAGACCTATGAATCTATAAGATTAGACCAATTTTTGCTTAGCTGTTACAATTTACTGATCTAATGTCTCCATCAGGAAGGCATTTTGAATTCTTCCCCTCTTCATTACCATCAACTATTTATTTTTCTGTCCATTTTAAAGCTTTCTTTGCTGACAAGGAAAATATGCACTAACCACTGTTGCAGCTGCTGGTTTGAACAGAACCACTCCAGTTTTGCACTGACAAAGGTTAAAAGAAAAATTGATCTGTGAGCATTTAAGGTATGTTTTAATATAAACAAAGGCTTTTTGAGTATCAATTCCAGCTCTCAATAGGTTTTTAAAGTATCATTCTAAGGTACAAACAGCGAAAAAATCCAATCCAAAACAAAAACCCCTACATACACATAATGACATATATACTTAGAATAAAAACAACGCCCTGCTAAAACAAAACACTTCCCTGAACATGCTTCCTCCCCTGGGAGGGGATGAGAGAACAAACAGCTTCTGACAGTGGTTAGTCACATCGTTTAATGCACTGCTGAAAAGCACTCAGATACCACACAGTTACTACGATATTGTAATCAGATAAAAAAGAAGAGAATAAAGGCAGCGGGTATCTATAAAATACAAATTTACCCCTCTAAATCCTTCTCCCTTCTCCTGATCTAGCCCCTTCCAAAAAATCTTTCTTATTTCAGAAGTCATAATATTTCACCATCACATTCTCCAAAGTCCTTTCACAAAAACAGACCGCATATGAAACTGTACAACCTCATAACGGTAGAATGCATTCTGGAGACAAGTAAAGCACAGAAGAGTTTTCTCCCTTCATATCAGAGACATAAAGAATAGGGAGAAGACTCCACAGTGGCAACACTTAAGAGGCTTTTTTTTAGCATAGTTAAGATTAAAACCAAATATTGTAACCTAAATGTGCTGTAGAAAGAACTTTTGTCTTCACCTGAACTCCCTGTCAACAGGGCTGGGCAAGTCATTCCACCCTGCTGTCCCAATCCTGCCATCACACTCTACCACAAAAGTCCTACATCATTCTATCACACAGTCTGAAAACACAAGTGCAGAACTAAGGCTGAGGCCAACTCAAGCCTACAGTGGTCCCTGCTGAGAGGAACCATCAAGGCCTGGAAAGCCACAGAAGCGATATGTTAGGAGGACAAAGTTTGCTGAGCCCACCCACATGGTAACTGATGAGCAAAAGATCAGGGAGACAAACCACAAGAGACAGAAACATATTAACACCACACAGCCTTTTTTTTTTTAAAGCGGAAAACAGCTTATTTTAAAAAAAGCTGATATCTGGGAGAGCTGCAGGGGGACCTGGCTTGGCACACAGCATGTGACTCACTCTTCAGGGAAGAACTCCAGGGTGCGGCTGCCAGAGGAGATCTGGCACATGGTGTGACTACGACGCTGGCTGAACCCTGCCGTTGTTGGGGACTTGTAGTGGATGTTCACAGATGGGTAGGTCCTCTTTGCTGGTGGGGGACTTGAGGAAGAGCTGAACAGACGGCTGAAGCTAGGGACAGAAAAAGGCCAACAAATAAGAGAAAAGGTGCCAGGGGAGGCAAGACACCATAGATTCACAACAGGGGAAGGAAGAGGTATGGTATGCAATCAGAGGCTGTAAGCCCTTCATGAAAACTGCCCTACTTCAAACATGGAGCTAAGTTCTCAGTTTGATTGACATAAAGTGTTTTCAGCCTCCAGAAACAGACACCTTCTGAAAACAGCCCTTTATTAAAACTGATTGTGAGTGTATGTATGTTTCCATTCCAGGATACTCATAATCTTTTTCAGCTTGTAAAACAAAACCAATGTGGATGTTCAGATCTGATTTTAACTTCACTAAGGACAAAGGAAGCCCCTGAAGGCAAAAGGGTTCAGCTAACAATGCTTTTAATTCACATTTCATTAATGTCAGAGTCTATTAAGTTGCTGTCTAAAGTAGAAATGGCAATGCTTCCCCTCTTCTTAATCTTACACAAATGACCAAAAAACTTACAACTGCCAAATGGTGGATTTCTTCTTCTCCTGGACGGATGGGTGCTCACGGGAAGCTCTAAGGACAAACACAGCAGAAGCATGTTAATTCCAGCATCTCTTACCCAAGCTTCTGCCAACCAGCAGGCCATTTCCATCAAGGAAACCATGTCAACATTCAGAATTCATTCTATCATGTTTCAAAACACAACAGAGGAAGTGACATGCACAGGTCTTTAATGTAAGCACATCTGACCACTTTATGTTTCAATGTTGATGTGAAGTGCAAGTAAGCGTGTTCAATTAGAAGTTTATCAACTCCCTGCAATGTTAGCATTGCCACAGTACTACTCTGGTAACTACAAATCCCAGCATTATATTCACTTCAAGCCACAGCCTTCAGAATTCATTTATCAGAAGCAACCCTCTTCCCTACAGCTTCTCCTAGCTTAATTAGCACACAAGAAACAAGCAAGACAAACAACTGCCCAGTGTCTCCAAAGAACAATGGCAACTCAAGACTGGCAGCCCAGGTTCAGGAATAAGAGAAAAAGAATTAGGTATTAGGAGAGAAGCATCTACAGTTTGGAAAACTTTCAGCACTTCTCAGTCCATATCTTGGTAGGGTTTCCATTGACCACAAGGTCAAACATCGCCAAGTTCTGTCCTAAATAGGAATGTTCAACCAACACCCAGTCTCACCTGATCATCTCTGTCCACCTGACAGCCTCCTGGAGCTCCATCAACCTCTCTTTGTACTGATTGCGCTCCATCAGAACCCGGGCCATTTCCACACGGGTGAAGCGGCGGCGCTGAGCTATGGGAATGTTGTCCTGCAGGGGGGAGGAGCACTGCTTCAGCCAACAAAAGATGGAAGGGGATTGATGTTAGTACAGGGCAAGTCAGGAAACAGAAAGACGTATGCGTTAGTTCTTCTGTTCTGTTTGATTATCCTCTGATTTCCCTGTATGAAGTGCTAATTCTAGACAAGTGAGCCCTAAACTATCACCCACGGACCTCTGGGGTGTTCTGCAAACCCATGGAAATTAGAATTAGAATGACCACCAAATTGAAAATCCCACCCAGGGACTATTGCCAGCAAGGTGCTTCGACAGCCTGCAAGGAATTATGAGAACTGACAGTGGTCCGTTGGTCCAGAAGTTTAGAAACCAAAGTTTTAGTTCATTAGCAAACCCACTCACAAGCAGCAAGCAGCACCACCTAATGCCAACAATCCTCTCAAGAGTACTAGGAAGGGGGCGTTCTGTTAGTACACATTGATAAAGGGCAGAAGAAACCAAAGAAGAAAAGGGCTTTTCTCTTTGGTGACACAACTTGGCCCTCCAATGAGGGAGCATACGGCTTTGGGTTAGAGGGCAACAAGAATGAGATCCTGTTTGCCTTGAGGAGTGGCAAATGAGAACAACGTGGCTAAGTTGGGGAAAAGACCTGCCCAAAAAGAAATTGTAAGGATTTGGGGAGCTCATTACTAGTAAGTAGCACTGGGTTGTGCCTAGACTGTGGCAATTCCCAAGCTCAGCCTGGCTGGTGAGTACTGCTGAAAGCTAGAATAGCATAAATTAACGGAGTCCCTCTCCAGCCTCCATGGACTTGGAATAAATACCAAGATACGTATAAATGAAAAGGAATTTTACAAACTTTTTTTTTAGTTTAAAAAAAGCCAGACCTCCTGTCAGTTCAGCTTCAAAGAACTCCGGTCCTCAGCATTTCACAAGCACAACTTGACAATTTTCCTATCTACCTAAATTCTCAACAGACAAAGTTCACCCCAGTAAAGTCAATAGAATTAGGCTAGAATTGAGCCTGCTCCATATCTTTTACAAAGTAAGAACACAGTGATATTGAAAAGAAGTGTATCTAATTCCATCCTAGTAGAGTAACATTTACAAGGAAAATCTCTGTTACTGCTTTGGTTTGCCTTTTTTTTTTTTTTTTTTTTTGGCTACAGTTGATCTTTGTTGAAAAGTGTCTACCTCAGCCACAACAGTTTGAAGAGCTGCCACAAAAGAACAGTCCATGAGCCTTCTCTGCCTATACCCTGTAACAGGCAGTAGTGGCTTACGTAAAAGAAATAATGAGAAACACAATGCCGCAAGATTGAGATTACAGAATAAAAGAAGGCAGTAACTGCTGCCAAGCTGTCTGCAGAACGTGGATTTCACTGCACAATGTCCTCACGGCTTACAGCTTCACTGCCAATGTGGAGACAAGCTCTTCTGGAGAAACCCGACTACCACAAGACCCTGAGAGAAACCACACTGCAGGCTAAACTGTAATTCAAAATCAGGCAGAATCAGATAAAATGAGAAGGTGCTGAGCAGGGCACTGCTCTAGCACCGTTCTGTAGAAACCACATCGTGCACAGTATTGCCACTGTGTCAGCTGCTCATCTGGGCCAAGAGATGGTTTGAAAGTCATATGAAGAGGTAATCTCATGGCATTTATCTATTAGCAGTGCTTAACAGCAATAACCCGCAGTTCACCAGCTTCGCACTCATTGTGAATGAGGGCAGATCAATCTGCATCTCAGGACTTATATATATATGAAGTAATATAGAGTAAGTATATAAACCCCCTTTCCCCACAGGCATTTTAGTAATGTAATATACCAATTCTGTACAGAGATAGCTGCTTACATCCTCCACCTCCTCTTTGGGTTCTCGTCGGGCAACAATTGCTTCAGATTTCACTCTAGGAAACAGGAAAAAAGGCATCAAATCAGTAAGTAATACCACGGCTGGTCCTGAGGTGTTTTGGGATGAGAACCATCTATGGGAAGTTCTGTCTGCATGCATCACAAAGAAACGTGTTCAAACTGTGAGCTAAGCGTACAAATTATGAGATGCTCCTCCGGTATTTTTCCCTCTCTCTTGCAGCATGTTACTCTGAACAGCTTCACAACATCACCCCATTTCTTTGGAACATTTGATGTAAGCACTGAAATCCTGGCCACTGCAACAGTCCAGCCAATTTCTATTTCAGAGCCACAAACTCTGTTCAAATGTTCAATGAGAACTTAACCACAGGAAAACTGAGCCATTATCAGCAGTGAAAATGTTGGCTTGAGTTCGTCCTCTGGGCTGCTTCTGTTTTCAGTGCAGTGAAAAAATCCTATAATGTGAAGGATAGTTTGCCATAATGGCAAAGAAGAGAAACCAAATCCATGTTAATAACATACTTAAAGTATTTGTCCGAGTGCTTTTAATTTCTTTAAACTCCATACCAAGGTGCAGTCCCATTTGAATTAGAAGCACTTTTATTAACAGCAAAGAGACTGCGGGAAAAAAATGCTGTCTCCATCTCCTAAAGAGGCACACTTGCCCGTAAAAAGTTCATGTCCCTACTGCATAATATATTATATATTTTACAACAGACTCAAAAAGGCATTTTAAAAAATTAGACCTATTTCCACTGCTTGTGAGACTACTTTCATTTCAGATACTCTGAACAACAAAGAGACGAGTCTGTGTTATTCTTGGTAATTCTGTGCTCAGACTAGAGAGGCAACCTTCCAGATTCCAGCTGCAAAACAAACACTGTCCTGTGAACTGAGACGCTACAGTGCAATGTACAGATAGTCAAAATGTTATTATATTGCTTTGAGCCCCACAGGGCATCTTTAGTTTTATGGATGTGAAATCATCACAGGCTTTGCTAGGCATTCAGGCTTCTGTTTCTCTAGTCTGAGTGGAAAATAAGAAGTGGGATCTCTTCAAATGCTACCTCCATAGGACTTGAAAAATCTCTTCTGCCTCTTCTTCTCATTCTTAACACGAACTATTAAACAATTAACAATTCTGGCATTTAAATATTGTTTGTGGGAATCAGTATTAGCTCTTTCATTAAATAAATGGGCATTCATTCCTCTCAGAGCTGTCCCGGCTGCTGCAAGGATCAAGCTCTTGACAGCTTCCTTCAAAACTATTGGTTCTGAAACTCTCCGCCCCTTTTTTTTTTAAATTGCAAATTGCAATTCTGAATGCTTCACTCCAGTGAGCCTGGATTCGAAGTTGCTGCTGCAGAATCCTAGTCCAACAGAGGAAAATTCTGCAGGTTTTCTAACGTTCAATAATCCATTTCAATCCAATAAAAACAACGTAACACTAAAAATATCCCAGCCACCTACCATCAGCCTTGAAGTGCTCTGTAAGGTACCTTTGATTCCAATGTTAACCTCCACGAGGGAAACAGAATAAAATTAACAGAGGAGGTGGGTACCTCACTCACGTCCTCCCAGCTCCCTGGGGCAGGGTATGAATCACTCACCTTTTCAGCTCCTCCTCCAGCTCCTTGACTCTGGTTTCCATTTTGGCTTTGGCCTGCTTTGTTGCTTCAAGCTCTCCCTTCAGCACTTCTTGCTCTCCAGACAGCTGGTCCACCTTGGCAATCAAATCATTCTTCACAACGTTCAAAGCATTTCTTAAAGGTGTGAAAGGGACAATAAGCAAAAATGCCCCAAACCAGCAGCTGTCCATAAGACAGACCCGAAACTAAAGTCACAGGTACTACAAGGAGAATTGAAAAGAGTGTATATTTAAACAATTCAGTCCAGCTATAACTCACGGGCAAGTAGATTTTGACAAGAAAGAGCTGCAGAAGAACACAGAAATCACCATAATTGGATGAGGTTGTCCAGTCCTGTGTCCTGATTGACAGACCGACATCTCCTTAAGGTGGCAGAATACTGCAGAAGGCAGGCGTAGGGTAACCTATCACCTGCATAAGGTTCACATCTATTTTTAACAGAATGAAGAGCTGAAACACACCTTTCAGAACTGCTGTTATCTTAATTGTGAATAATTGTGGATAATAGTGATATAAATAAGCATTTCCAATCAGCTCTGAAAGATCTTAAAATCTTTAAAATCAGCAGCTTCCTATCATAGTAAGTTCTCCAACTCTCCTCTGGGAGTACTCTGCCTTCCTCTTCCTGGCTGCTTAGCTCTAATATCTGGTTTGCCAGCCTTTCTCAAAAAATAAGTTCATTACATTGTTTGCTTCTCCTTTATCAGCTATTACATCTTTCAAAATTCTTCTCAATAGTAAGAAAATTTTCTTTTCAAATAGAAAAACTTGCAAATAAAACCTTATAAACAGCAATATCCTCACAGAGGCTTAGACCCATATCTAGATTCCCACTGAGGTTAATTAAACGCTTGCCATTGATTTCAGTTGGGATCAGACCCTACCAGCACATTCCCAGATACTTCATCCAAGTGCCTGAAGAAAGGAAACAGTTAGGAAAGTCTTTCAGAAGAGCAATTCCTCTTCTATGATTGAAGGAACAACAAGTATTCAAGAGAACCTGTTAGATAAATGAGCAAGCCCCTGTGAGGCAGTAGTTCTGGCCAAGATCTACTTCAAGATGACATTTTATTTATAACCAGGCAGGCAGTTCAGAGCACGCAACAGTTCCTTACTTGGTCTCCAGTAGCTGCGAGTTCTCCAGCAGCAGATTCCCCACTTCTTTGCCCATTCCTGAAAAGAAAAGTCAGGCAGTTTTCACCTGTTCTCCTAGAAATGTGAAGCTTCTATGGCACTGCCTGACTCATGCTTGATGAAGAGAAATCACTTTTGTTAGGCTTTCCCTAAGCTTCTGTGTCCTGCTGTGGAGAGTGGAGTCCCTCTTGCTGAAAGACCAGGCACCACAAGCAAAGACACCCATGTGTCCTTCTGTAAAGAGCTCAAATGCAGACCTAGCTTCCTACCCCAACTTTCAGAGACTCCCTTGAGAGGGACAGAGAGATCTTCACTAACACCAGTTAGGGGAAGTCAAGTCAGTAACTCCTGGTTCAGCCATGAGCTATTGCAACCATTTTTTAACATCACTCATACAGAAAGAAGGTAGTAGCTCACGGGTTTTTCACAGAGGACAGCAGAACACTGTCCAAATTGCTGCCCACATTTGCACGTCGGTGATTTTCTTTCTTTCTTAGTATAAGCCAAACTTTCTGTTTCTCAGTACAGATTGGGGATCATAGTTGTGACCAGTTTCATGCACATGAAAGGCTTCTCATTATCAGCCTTCCACTAGAGCAATTTTAATAGAAGTTTAGATTGTCCATTGCTCTATCTACCTTTAACAATCTTCTTACAGATGTTCAAAATCCTAAGTCTCAGTCCCATCACTTAAGACCCACACTCAAGAAAACAACTACATCAGACACACTGCACTTGCACTTGGGCATCAGTGTCAATGACTGCAATATGCAGAGTGAGTTGTAAGAACTTTGAAAAATCTGGGGCTAAAAGTGAAGGCGGAATTCTGGACTTCATAAAACCAAATGGAAAGGAATTTAGAGACCAAAAGCATATTTGGATTGTTTCCTGCTGCCAAGGACTTGCTGGCTCCCGGAGTCAGCTTCTGTCTTACAGCGGGGAATAGAGGCCGCCTGAGAACTAAAGGCAAAGAGGCTTCTCCCTGTCAGGGGACAGTGCTGCGGGTTGCAGGTCATCTCTCACCACAGGTGCCAGAGCATGAAGAAGTCTCACAACCATCAGTGTTTACGTTGAAGTGCTCCTTGTCCTGCCCTCTGAACTACCTCTTCCTTTACAGCAAAGACATCAACAGTTTTCATGATCCATTATTTGCTGGTTAATTAATATTTGCAATAAAATAAAAACAACACAAACTTGAAGTAAATGAAAGTTAGAGAAACATGGTAGCATACGAGAAGTGAGAACACATCACAATACTCCAACATACAGATCCTCTTCCCACAGTTAAATGGGATGAATTTTTGATGGCAAAAGCAAATTCCCAGCAAGAATTAATGAGAAGCAGATTTTTGAAATAACTTTTGAAAAATTAGTAGACAGATAATTAATCACTTTGATGTTTCAGGCAATGTGTTCTTTGGATGCTGTGTCAAAGAATACTGCAAACAGCAAAAAAGTGAGACACACTAACTGCTGTGTAAACTGAAGTGTATTTTTGGTTTGGTAAGGTGAATGACCTGTAGCCCTTTCTTTTGTGGCACGCTGTAAGTTGATCAGAAGACCAAGAAGTCATCTGTTTATTAAATGATTTTCTTGTTCCTTTTTAGTAATTCTACAAATGATCAATTAATTATTTAGCCAGTAAGACATTAAAATGGCACAAGGACGTTACAAGTGCTGAGGGACATCAGTGTTCATCCCAGGTTTTTTGGACTAAATCTTTTTCCTTCCCATTCATTATCTATCCCCCTCTGCAGCTGTTTTTAGGACAGAAAGGCACTCTGATGAAGAGGGTGAGCTATCGAGCTAGAACTAAATGCCATACAGCATCCCTACCATCAGTATCCTCAACACAGCTTCTACCTTATTTGTGTGTGACACAGTGACAGCCCAATGCTTTAACCAGCAAGAGGTCTGAAGAGCTAGTCATGCAATAAAGAAATAGACGAAGCTTCGCCGAGCCATTAGAATGGATACTATGAAATAACCTTATGCAGGCTGTAATGGGAAAGCCCTGATCCTGGCAAAAAAAAACCCACAAAAACACTGTGGAGTGACTAAAAGGAGTTCTCTTCACCCCTTTGTGGCGCGGAGCAAAGGGAGGAGAGGTCTGGACAGAGCCCTGTCTAACAGAGCCCATCCTACACTGTCCACCTCCCATAGACGTGCAAATAGTGTGAAGCATCAAAGTGGATAATCAACTACAATAAACAGAGGAAAATCCCCAAACCACCGCTACTGACCAGCTGCGTCCTGCTTCTTGGAAAAGTGATACCACCATCACAAAAAACCAAACCAAGACAATGCAAGACATATGGAGGGATGTTGAGTGAATGGAAGAAATTTAGAAAAAAAATGCATAAAAAAGAAAAAAAAGAAAAGAAAAAAGGCCTTCGCCTTACCAAAGAAATCATCCCGTACTATGAGAGCCATCCCATACGAGAAAGGGAACAGAAAGAGATGGGGACAAAGGGGAAGAAAGGAAGAGAAAAAAAGCAGCCATTAAGTACCAATCTGTAAATAGCAAACAGAGCAGCTCATCAGCATGTGTATATCTGTGTGTGGTGCCAGTGTATGTGATGCTCAGTCGTAGCTAATCTACACCTTGTTCTACCGCAGCCTGGCCTAACAGGGATTTACACCTGAGATGTCAGGACAAGCTCAAGATGAGCTCATCAGTTTCCTCCATCTTCATCAGCTCCCCTGGACCACATGTCTTTGGGTTTCCCATCCCCACAACAAAGGCAGTTCAACAGACATTATGAACAGCGTGAGGGAAGGACAGCAGCAGGAGGAAAAACAAAAGGGGGGGCTGGATATCAAAGCTCTCATCTGGCCTCCTTGCACAGGCCCAATCCATCTCCACACTGCAACAAACTCCAACCCAACTTCAACTGGAGGTTTTCTGAGAGTAGATCACAAAAAAAGTGGCTTACAGTAAAAACAGTCTGAACTAAAAGAAAGGATGATGCCATCCCTTTCTTTTATATATAACCTCACAGAGCCCACACTGAGAGGTGTTGGACAAAGAAACGTGACAGAGCTCATCACCGCACAGCATTATGCTATCGTGGCTGCATTAGTCACCTGCCTTTACTACAGGGAAAACTTCATCCAATTTGCACTGAAATCAAGAGAGATCCCCTTGACTTCATCTGAAATTGCATGAGGGCCCAAGGATATCTTACAGAAAGGTGCAAACCTTCTGACAGAGCATGGCCCTAAGGCAGTGAGTCTCCTTCAACAAAACAAAAGATGTAGCTATCACTTATACTCCTGCCAGAAAGGCAAAGCTTCCATGAAAGACAGAGGCTTTGCCACTCTAATCCACCAAGAAAGTGCCTTTAATATCACTACAGCTATTCCAAAAGGGGGCCAGTATGCATCAACTGATCCACACTGGCCATCATGCACACGGGGGATTCCTCACAGTGTGGTTTGCTAAGAGACAGTGGGAACCTAACTCAGTCTTGCTCCCACCCAAGCTCTGCTCCAAGCACAGCACCTGTCCTGACAGAAAGAAAAGCACTGTGAGCCCCAAGACCTTGAGTGACAGGCCATTGTAACACAGTGGAGCAAACCTGCAGAAAGCCACACAAGGAACGCAGCAGGCGTGGGAGCACAGAGCGGGGACATCCCGCTGCCCAGGGACCCACTGGTGCAAGGCAACCAAGCGAGGTGAAGGTGGGAGAAGTCTGCAAAGCCAACCGTGTTTGGACAAGAGCAGGGGAGTATCACACGTGTATACCATGTCATTCGACCTCAACAAAGAAAAAAAGAAACAAGAAAGGAAACTGAGCAGAGGAGATACACACCTGAGAACTCCCCTATGGGCCATGTCCAGCGAAGCACAGAGAGACAAGGGAAAAAAAGGAAGTGAAAAAAGGATCAATCAGTGACTGAAACCAACAAAATAAAAATTTTGTTCAAAAAAAATTAACAATGACTCAGCCATTTCAATGTCAAAAGGCATGAAATAGTAAGGACAGGACCTGCCATGACTGTAGATGGCATGACTCTACATACAGGACATAAAAAAAAAAAAAATCAAGGCAAGATCACCTGTGGTACAACTGCAACCACATGCCTCAGCTACCCCCACTTTTCCTGACATGAATCTCAGGCAATCACATCTTCCTGGACTGAATAAACCTTTTTTTTCTCTTTACTTAGTCATGTGCTACTAAATGCAGAACAGCTAGTTCCACTACCTTCTCATTTCCTCTCCCCTTGTGATTTTAGCACCTAGATCTTCTGATAATAAATGTGCTCTTCAGTGATACTTCAGCTTGCAAAAGATAATTAGTTGCATTTTAAAACTTTTTTTTTTTTTTTTTTTACAGTGCAGTGTTAGGACTCAATTTGATAATCCCATTTTAACTTCTGTACAAAAAACCTACATATAAATTTAACGGTAATGCAACTGAATTTGTGTCTTCACCACAAAATCCCTGTTATTTGAAGGGCGGTTTTAATCTCCAAAGGAAACACAGTTGGGCATCCTACAACTAAAAGGAAGGACCTGCCCATAGCACACAACCAAACTTCTAGGGCTGCTTCACATCCAGAAAGTCTTGGGATAGGAGCAGGGGGAGGCAGATGTGGGAAGGAGAAGCCTACCCAGGATCCGGAGGTATGAGCCTGCGATTAACACATGAATACACAGGAAAACAGCCAACTAGTGTTTCTAAGGTTGTAGTGAGAAAGAAGTGAATCTGGTCTACAATTACCACTAGTAAATAATTGTTCTCACTACACATTCTCCAGAATACTTCCTATACAAACTCATGTATGTAAAGCGGGGGGGGAAAGCCACATATTTTATTATTTTACATTCAAAAATTGCAATGAAGAGTGCCAATTTTGTACCAAGAGATGCTGGCCACTTTGCAGATATCCAGAAGGAATGAGTGAGATGTTCCATTCAAGGAACAGACTTGCCTGCCAGCTACTGCTCAAGGGTAATTTCTGTAAGATCTTCTATTTTAAAGTCCTCTTTAATGAGATTCCTCTTTCTTTAAGAAACTGAATCCAAAATGACAGAATATTCTTTGAAGACTGATTGCCAAGTTTTGAGCGAGACTAGAGGAAGTATTCAAATTTCACTTAGGTGGGGTAAACTTCATTAATTCTTTTGATTTACAGAGAGGTCCAAATACGACCCAGAAAGCGGGAGCAACTCTTTCGGCTTGTGGATCTGGTTCCTTACATTGCTTCCATAAAGTTCCTCTGTGGCTCTTCAGACTCAAAGGTACAGCAGGAAGAGAGAATTTATCTAACAAGAAAGGCAAGATTTTGAATAACGCTGACAGATCTGTCAGTACTAAGATCTAGCCTTTTGCTTCCACCTTTACCAGACTTTCTTAGTGCTTTCTATTGCACAAAGCCAAAAAAAAAAAAAAAAAGTATGAATCTCATTTCTTGGTCAGAGACATGACCTCTAAGATCTCTCTCTACCTTCCCTTCCTCCCTTTGTACAATCCTGGCAACATGTGTTCTCATTTTAAAGAAAACTTTTACATGGACAGAGTCAGTAGCCAGAACTCAACAAAAGGATTATTTAGATTAACATTTCTCACAGAAAACGCACAGAACCACCCAACTTCATCACAGCCCATCTCTCAGGTTTGAAATGGAACCAGGAGAAGCCTTCGTATCATGCTAGCCTACCATGTGATCACCTGCAAGAGTTTTGCCGCTCTCCTCAAACCAGAAAATTGTCCCAGCACAGACATGTACTCTTCATAATCCAGACTATGTGGTCTTCATAAGCCACACTTACAGGGACACTGTTCAACAAAGCCTCTGTACACTTTTATTACAAGCAGTAATGGCCAAACAAAACATGTCTCATGACCCAGAATCAATCACTGGTCTTTGGGCAGCCTGAAGAGGTGAAGCAGCTTTGACTTTAACTGAAACTGGGGTGATCGACATTGCAAGGGTTGGGCAACTAAAATCTTTGGCCCTTTGAAAACAACAGTCTGTATTTCTCACTGATCGCTAGGTCAGGGTACAGGGTAATCCAAAGGGGAAGTGGATTCCCAAAAGCCAGGCTTCCAGAAGTAGGAAACAGGTTGTCCGAAGCAGTTCATACACCAAGCAAATAATTTTCCTGAATAGTAACTCTTCAAAGCTGGCAATCCCTGACGGCCCAGCCATTCTGGGGAAAGGAAAGCAGCACTTGGCACAGTGGCTGATGTAAGACAGGCATAAAATCAACCATACTGTCTCCTACATAAGGAGTGCCTGAGGACCAAGATAAAAGACGGGCAATGGCAAGATTGCAAGTGTTTTTAATGCTTTGATTCTACTAGGAAGAGAGTTCCCAATCACGTATGGGGGCTGGCTAACCAAAATTCATTCCATAGCAGGTTGATGAAGCTTTAACTGCCACACGTAGCTCCTACTGACCACTTTAAGCAGGAGTCCCAACCCTTCTGCAATGACTGCTAACATCCAGGTGATTCTCAAACCTGGAAATCTTGCTTTTCCTTCTAATTTCTTAATTTTTTAAGTATCTGCCCGCGTTGGCTCTAAATGCAGGCAGAGAAAGCCTGTGCATCCATCCTGAATCTTCTGTATATTTTCTTCTTCTGGCAATCTCAAGTTGGAGGTGAAACAATAAATGTATTAACACTTCAGGTAATGGTCATCAATCCACGCACAAGAGCTCTCTTGCATGTTGCAGGCCTAGCATCATGCATCTAAAAAGCCTATCCATATAAAAAAGCACTGCGAGCATTTTGATGATAGTCACACTATTGCCTACAATAATAACAATTTCACAGATGCTTTGTCTCAGATAAACTAAGAAGTACTGTATTAACCTCCTTTCCAGTCTTCAGTCCACATCTTCATGATTAAGTCTTCGGTGAATAGGGTAAAATCTATCCTCTCTGCAGAAAGATACCCTTTTAGAGGGTCCTGATACAAGACACGAATTCAAAGCTGATACAAGTATCTTCCTAATTCAATTTCTACAAAGGCGAGCTGCTGCAAATCTGTGAATGATTCAGCTCATCCTGTTCTGGACAGATCTACAGAACCAAACTTACAAGATTATCCATAAGCAGCTCTTACATCAGGAGTCACCAGAAAGGAAACTTACACTTTCAGACCAGATCTCTTGCTACTAAATGCATAAAGACATATTGTTGGAGTCCTCACATCTCCTAAGGCTCTTTAAATCAAGCAGTAAAACTGAAAGTGAACTACACAGTTATAAACTTTGTCAGCTGTCTGTGTTGTCTGAGTATTCAAAGGCCACTCATATTGTCCTGATTCAGGAGAATAGTCAGCAGGACTTAAGCACACGCCTAAATTCTATCACGAATTGAGGTCTAGATACTCAAGAGCGCCACACCAAAAAGTATGGCAAAGGCTCAGACTGCTACCTGAGGCAAAGCCACTTCTCTGACTGCTTCAAAGTCCTAGTCAGGAATATGGAATACAACCACACTTCAGGTATCACAAGCTCCTTCAAAATCAGCCTAAAAAGTGAATTGCTACATCTCTTTGACTGACTATAAAAGGGTAAAAACTGCAATACAGACCATACTATTTCCATATAATTTAAACTTCAAAAACTTAACAAAAGGAGTTATCTTCTTGCAAATTTCAAACAAACTCTATTCCAAGTGAAATTGCTAGTGCATAAAATTACTAGGGGGAGAAATTTGGGGGGGGAAGCAGAAGGAGAAATACTGTCTTCAAACTGTTCGTGTGGGAGAATCCTACAGAAAAATAACTTATGCTTATAAAAACAACCCAAACAACAGTTACCCAACAGTTTAAGTTATTTTCTAAGTAAGCATTACTTAGAAGGTATGCATTTCAGTCACCTAATGTCTCAATTTCCATGCCATTTTTTTAAAGCTAAACATCCAAGTTCTGAAAGTGCTTCTAGAATCTTAACATAGTTGTTATTGTACCAGATGAAACAGAATGGTTCTAAACAAGTTTTTACCTAGTAGATCTGCTCCTTCATCAACATCTCCAATAACTTCGGACCCTGCTGTGGAAAGTTCATGATACAGAGAGTCTGTATTGATGCCAAACGCTTTGTTCACAATCCCCTGTGTTGGGCTGTTGTTGGAAGAAAAAAAAACAAGGACTCTTGTTACTTAGCAATATTTAAGCTGGAACATTTCTCTCTGAAATACTGAGCAACCCAGACCATTGCAATCAAAGCCCTGAGAGCACATGTTCACCATGGGCTGATTCAAGGAATGTATTGAGTAAAGAAAAAAAGCATGTTTTATTCCCCATGTCAAGGACAAGTACCTATCAGGCACGACCTCAAAGCTCACCCAGATAACTTCCTTTTAAGTTGTAATAGTTAATGACCATTCAAATTTGACAGAAAAATTTCAACTTGCAGAAGCTCTCAGATCTGACTTTTCAGACTCTGCAAGGATTCCCACTCCTATCACTTTAGACAGCAACCTCGGACAGCAGTAAGATCAGATAAGGACTCAAATGTTGAAAACAGCAACGGTCTTTTTTTCTTTGCCAACTAGTAAGTGAAATCAGCCTAAAGGGTTAGTTTCTTTGGGTGAGTCTATGTGCCAAAATGCTTCTTCACATGTCAGCAAAATGTATTTCATTAAAGGTAAATCACAGTTAATGCTTTATAATTGTATCATACAGGAGCACATTTCCACCTCTTGGTGTCTTTGGTACCGTCAAGAATCTTCTTGTGTTTCTTGACAGTTGCATGGCTCAAACAGAAAACAGCTGTTACAGGAGGTGGGGCAACCTCTGGAACTGTCATTGCCTACTCTAAAAAAACGGTCTTAATAGGTATAAACACTTTTAAGTGCCTTGCCTTGTATGAGGGGAATCATCCAGCATGAAGAGATGCTGTGCAATTTTTCCAGCAGTCTAACAGAAAGGTCAGTACCACTGGAACTTATCTCAAGCTGCGTGGCTTCATTCTTAGATAAATCAAGTCTCAGTGATAAAGCCTGGAGGTTACAAACGGGGTGCCGTAGTTGCCTCTGATATTGCAGAGTTACAGCACATTACAGAGAAGAGGAAAAAAAATAGTGGGTTTTTTCAGTTACAGAAAAATTACAGCTACCCAGACATCTGAAAGCACTGAAGAGCTACAAATGGGTGCCGTGACTGCTCCAGAATTAATCAGTTCACACAGTCTAATGGACAGCACAAGTGACAAGAAGAAACCAGCACTCAGTGTCTGACCTGAAGACCTAATTCAGCTTGAAGCTACCTCTTCAGCACTCAACTTTCAGAAGCTGTATATACTCAAAAGCATTCTGCTTTTAAAGCAGCAAGCACATTGTTCAGCAGCTCGAGTTAGCTTGTGTCTCCAGTAGCTTTCTCACTACCTGGATCAAAGATCACTGCCTGAAGACCTCCCAGTGCAGCAATCCTCTCCATTCCATTCTCTTCCTTGGGTCTGACCAATTTTCAATCTGATCTCATCAGTCACTTTTGTCTTCCCCACAAAAAGCTGTTTCAGCTACCTAGATTCCTCCTGCATCTGACCCTAAAAATTGTCCATGCATCCTACATACTCCAAGAGGAGTTTAATATATATGGTTTCACAGCTGAGAAATGCATCTGTTATTGCTGCTCATACCCTTCTCGATGAAGGTGCTCCACAGGGCAAATTCAGTCCAGATTTTTGACTGTGAGAAAATCTCGCCTTAACTTTGTCAGTGTACTATCTTCTGCATACCTGTAAGAGCTAGGGAGTTATTTTTGCTGGTGTAGTGCCAAATTACCCACTGGACAAGGGTAAAAATTAATGAATCCTGTAAAATTGATCACCTGACCTTAGTAAAAATTAATCAGGGTACATAGACTAATAACTCTAGACTAATACATGCCTCACAGAAATATGGTGCCAAAATTAATAGCCTTTAGGGAGCCTCCTATTCAGCATGAAACAGGTGATGGATAGGAACCAGAGCAGCAGAGTAGTTCAGTAAAAGTCTGCTAATTCAGAGAACTCTGTGCAGGTCCTGAGTGCATTGATGGGTCAAAACTGCTCTGATCAGCCTCACCTGGGACCCGCACCTACCCATTGGTCCAAGGGCTCCCTTGACCTCAGGCCTATGCCTTCAGTCCTTCTTTGAGCTACACTGTAGGTGTACCTGTCTTCAGCCCTGTCTCCTGCTGCTCGTGGGTAGCTCGAGGACCTAATTTATCCCCTTGTCTTGGCTGGGGCTGCTGAGGGAGCTCATTACCAGTGCTCTGCCCCTCCACTCAGAACCTGCAGGACTGGGATCGCTCCCTCGTGGAGCAGCCCTGCTCCTGCTCTTCAAACACTTGAAAAAATTAAAACTGAAAGAAAACTTGAGGTTTTAAAACTCAATTCAGAACTGATCTCTTATTAGACAAATGCATCTTTTCCCTCTTCCTGATAGTTTAAGCCCATGTCCTCATTGCCTGTCTTAAACCTTTTGTTGCTCCATCTTTCTGTCCTTCCTGATCCAGCAAGGCAAACCAACCCAGTTCTGGGTCAGCTGGACAGATCCCTCTGCAGATTACCAGCAGATCTCTGCTGCCTCTGGAGAACTCAAAGACAGTCAGGTCAGGACCCCTCATATTCGCACTAGGCAGAATATATGGACTTTCTCAAGCAGCTGCATCTTGAACTCAGTGTGAGCCACAGCATCTGTTCCTCACTTTCCATAAGACCAAGTGGAAGAGCACACAGTGAAAAGACACAATCAATACCTGTTACCAGTGCGTTCCAGGCGGGGGTCTTGACACATATCCAGCTCTGGAGTAGAGTCGATGATGTCCTGAACATCAGACCACTCATCACTGCTGCCCATTCCTACGTAAGAAAATATAGGATCAGGACTTAACAGGATGGTGTTCCTTGAAGAGACTTTTGCAGCTTTGAGGTTTCAAAACTTCATGGTGTCATGTTCAAAGTCTTAACATAGGAACAGAAGGTGGCTGATCATCTAGAGTCACAAATGCACTAGTGCTGGGAAGGTGCCCTCACAATTTCAGAGCAGGAAGACCATAAGCATCCCCTCCCCCCCCACACTATACCAGCATGTCACCAAGTTCATTTGAATCCTCATTAAAATGTCACAACCAGAAATATTTCATCCATTAAAATGAATTCCAAATAAACTTTTTATCTGTCAGCAAAAACGCTTCAAATGTAGCTTTAGCTGAGATAGAAGACAACACAGTGATTTTCCCTATAGCTTTACAGAGACTGTAGTTATGAATTGGCACTATTTACTCTTAAATAGAAATAATTTTTCAATACAAACTCTCAAGTCTACAACTGGTTTAGATACCCACTACAGTGAAATTTCACTTAAAAACTAATACATGAATTCTGCTCTGGTTTCTGGATACTCTACAGTCTGAAGCCAGTATTTAAAGAATGAGGAATTTCCTCCTCTTGTCAAGTCACATCTACTGGATACCAAACCATTCAAAAGCTCAGACTTGCACCTATTCTAAACAAGCAATACCAACACAGTGTCTGTTCATGAAAGAAATTCTTGAAGGATTAAAGACCTAATTTGTAAACTACACTAGTCCCTCAACAATGTTAGACGTGAAATTTTTGACCTTTCCAAATGGCCTCGGTAGCTAAATATGCAAAGTCCATGACAACTTGAGTGTTGATTTTATTCTTTTAGGCTGGCACTGTGCACTAGCTCGCAACAAATGCCACGTTTGAGGACAAAGCGTGACGAGTATCTGTTGCCGAAGTAGGCATCCATATACCAGTGCTTCTCAAGCTCACAGAAACAGAGGCTTCCTTTTATTTTTTCAACCTGGGAAGCTTTTCTGCAAGTACCTGAGTACCTTTTTCTGGTAGTTCAGCTCTGAGGCATGTGCGTCACTGACAGACATTTTAATTATAGATAAAATACATAATTAAAATTCAAGTATCTGTGTTTCTTCTCAGCATGGAGATCTGATTTTGCATTATGTGTGAGAAACAGCAGAACAGTTGAATATGCAGAGCACATAGGAAAAATATAACTGTCTGCCTTGAGCAGATTCCACAATATGATACTTCCACCAAGAAAAAAACAGCTTTCACATGCACAATGAGTCCATAGTTACACACGTATAGAATACGGCAGACTTTGACTCAAGCAAGCTAGTGATAGTAAACAAGCTTGTAAAGCAGCAACTGTAAAAATAAGGAGATATATTTATAGGGAACTCAAACTAGTGACATCCGTGCTCAACCTGTGATACCAATGCTTATAATAACTTGTCTTGGCCAGGATCACTGAACAGCCCACAATTTAACAGTTGGGTATGCAGAAGCCATACACTTTTACAGAGAACTACACTAGTTTTGGATGTTTGTGACCCCAGGACCCCCTCAGCTGCTAATACTATAAATACAGAATGGGTCTCAGTCATGACAATTCTCATTCAAATGCTACAACAAAAGATGTTACATGCTAGGAACCAGCTTGTGAATGTTAGCAGAGGAACTTCCTCTGTATTATTTAGACAAAAGATGATAATCTGTTTCAGATGCTAACCTCAGAGACCTATGCTCATCCCTGTGCTCCTGCACAGATTTTCTTTACGATCTTCAGGTAGTTTTACAGTCTTTTTGTATATAAGTTCATGACCTGTAAAACAGACCACTTCTCATTTCTGAAGGCTGCTGCAAGCCTAAACACAATACAGGCTGGGAGTTGCTCAGACACTACGTTGGCACAGCTATATTAAAAAGTCCTGGTTTGGGCTAAATCAGAACTAAT